GGTGCAGTTCTTCTTTGCCCTTTCCCCATAATATCCAGGGGAGATTAGAAAATAGGGGGAGGCTGAATACAGAATAACACTTATTGTTTTGGGAGCAGGTGGCACAGGACTTTCCTTCAGCCTTGAGTCTTTTTTTGCTGGCTCTTTCGTGGGGGGACTAATATTCCAAATTTCTTGGGCTTTTCTGCCTTGAAGCGCACATCCAATATATTATGCCATCTCACCTTTGAGTTCAACTACCGCAGCCAGAATGCGTTCAATCGCATCCAACATGCGGCTCATCACCCAATCCTGCTCGTTCACAGCCTTTGTGAGGGCGTCAACCGCTGCCGCCAGCCTGCTCAGTAGCCAAATTGTCACTGACATCCTCTATAATTGTAGATACACCAGGTATCCTCCAATTCCAAACAGGAGAAATCAGAGTATCATAAAACCAAAAATCCACACATCTTCGATATCCTCCACTGACAATGTTGAGGAACACACCATCCTCCAAGCCTTCCAGGAGTCCATGGTGTATCTGACGAAGTATGTCCCGACAGGACAGGACAGGTACCCTTTTCCCCTGTCTTCCAGTTGAATAAATTCGATCAATCTGCATTGAGAGACCAGCTGACCAGATCCATTTTTTAAGTTTGGGTGATATGAAGAGAGAGCTCAGAAAGGACAAGACACAACAAAGCAGGGACAGGCAGGGAGGTGCAGGAGCAGCAGGTAAATGCGACCACCTCCTTCAAGAGTCAAAACGGTTTGCAGTTAAAATGGTAATTTGTGAAAGATTAAAAAAAAAATTAAAGCTGCAAGCGACATTGGATGGCCCTCCAGTTTAAAGGGGAACGCCATTTTTTTTTATATTGGGCCCTTGATTTTACGTTATTACATCATGTTCTACTCACCCATATGAGTTTTGTGTCATTTGGAGCCGTTCTGAAGATATTCCGTTAGGTGTGCTCTGCCGCACACCACTGTCCCCATACCCATGCCGATATGGCCCAAATCCGACCTTTGTGACAGCAGTTCTAGCCATTTCCTTTCCAGTTCTTGTATTCTAAAGATTGAATTCTTATAAGATTATATTAAATACATGACAGGTCCACATAAAAAAAAAACTTATGAATAAAAAAAAAGCCAATGGACAGGCCAAATTTGGATTAGAGACCTATTTAAAAGTCATAATGTGACAGTGTCACATTTTCCCATGTTGACCAACACTGGCATTGGACATTTTTTTTAGTAAGACTAGATTACCCAGGTACATATATGGTTATGAAATAAGATTTGTGTAAAAAGCAAAGATAGAAGTAAAGAATTAAGTAGAATTCAAATGGGAAGTATAGTTTAATATTTGATAATATTCCGAAATAATGCTCATTTTAACTTTTGTTTTTCACAGTGTGTCGTAACAATCATCCATGCTTTGTTGATCAGGTAAATTACATTAGGTTATTTTTGTAAATCTGGTTTTCATTGTGTTTATAGATAACAGATGATCATGTAATATTACTTTCTTTCTTTCTACTGTTCTACTAAAGTGTGGCTTACCTATGGAGAGAGGAAAATGTCTGGAGTGTGGCGAGGAGGTTGGAGGGGAAGAACATAAAGCCTTGGGAGGATTCACAAAAGTTCCATCACAACAGTGAGTGGGAATATGTAGTAGTATATATATATATATACACTCACCGGCCACTTTATTAGGTACACCTGTCCAACTGCTCGTTAACACTTAATTTCTAAGCAGCCA